TGCCGGATCTGGAGTTGCTGGTATTCAGGAATGTTGGCAATTGGGAATGCTGGGATCTGGGAATGCTGGGATCTGGGAACTCCAGGAATGCTGGGATCCAGAAACACTGGGAATGCTGGGATCTCGGAATGCTGGGATCTGGGAACTCCAGGAATGCTGGGATCCAGAAACAATGGGAATGCTGGGATCTGGGAATGCTGGGACTTGGGAATGCTGGGATTTGGGTACACCAGGATCTGGGAATGCCAGGATTTGGGAATGCTGGGATCTGGGAACACTGGAATCCAGGAACGCCAGGAAGGCCGGGCTCATCTCCCACTCCGCAGGTACCTGCGGGACGTTGGCTGCTCCGGTGCCGGATCCGGCTGGCGCTTCCGACACCTGCATTCCCTGCTCGCCCGCGGTGCCGAGGAGCCGGAATCACCTCCCGACGGAGCGGACGGAGCCTCCCTGCTTGTGCGGCGCATCGAGGAGCAGATCCAGAGGTGAGCGACGGCGCATTCCGGATCGGGATGGCGCATTCCGGATCGGGATGGCGCATTCCGGATCGGGATGGCACGCTCCACATCCCGCAGGAACGCCGTGCGGGAGCCTTCGGAACGCGCGGGCGCCGCATTCCCGGCACGCTCGGCTCCCAGGACGAGGAGCGACGAGGACGAGGACACGGAGGACGCGGCCGCCGATGGCACCCGGCCTGCCAAGAAGCAGTGCAGAAAGGTGGGCGATTCCCGGCGTTCCGGGCGCAATTCCCACATTCCGGGCGCCATTCCCACCATTCCAGATGCAACTCCTGGCACTCCGGACCCAATTCCTGGCACTCCGGACCCAATTCCTGGCACTCCAGACCCAATTCCTGGCACTCCAGCTGCAATTCCTGGCGCTCCGGATCCAATTCTCATGTTTCAGCCACAATTCCCAGTGCTCTGGATGTGATTCCTGGCATTCCAGATACGCTTCCCGGCATTCTGGATGCGATTCCTCGCACTCCAGCTGCAATCTCCATGCTCTGGGTGCAATTCCCAGCGCTCTGGACACTCTTCCTGGTGCTCCAGGTGCAATTCTTGTGTTTCGGACACACTTCCCGGCGCTCCGGATGCCATTCCCGGCACTCCATGTGCCATTCCCAGTGCTCTGAACACACTTCCCGGTGCCCCGGATGCAATTCCTGACACTCTAGGCACAATTCCCATGTTCTGGCCGCGCTCCCCAGTGCCCCAGACACAACTCCCACCTTCCGGCCGCCCTTCCCGCCATTCCGGCCGCGATTCCCACATTCCAGCGCGATTCCCGGTGCTCACCATGCCCTTCCCGTGCAGCCCAGCGAGGATGAGGATGACGACGCCGATTCCGAGGATGCGCTCGGAGAATTCAACTTTGTGGGTGCCGGGAGCCGTGCCGACGCTCCGGGATCCTGAAGCGGCGCCGCTCGCCCTCCGGAGCCGGATGTGGGGATGGAGCTGCCCTGAGTTAGCGCCTGATCTGGAGCCGCATCCGGATTCGCATCCCAAACCACGTCCCAATCCGGATACCTGATCCACATACCCCATGCGGATCCCTGTCCCAATCCACGTTTGGATTGGGATCCGCATCTTGATCCATGTCCCACTTTGGATCCGCATCTTGATCCATGTCCCACTTTGGATCCGCGTCCCCATCCGCATACCTGATCCGGATCCCTGACCAGATTCATGTCCCTGATCCAGGTCTGGATCCGGATCCACGTCCCCCATCCCAATCCCACCTGGATCCAGGTCCAGATTCCCATCCAGATCCGGATCTGTGCTCCAACCCACATCTCCATCTGGATCCTGATCCCAATCCCTGATCCCGCTCCATGCCCGGATCCACATATCGCGCCCCCGTCCATGTCCCAGTCTAGGTCCGGGTCCCAATCCCCATTCTAGATCCACATCCTAATCCATGTCTCACTCCAGATCCGGGTCCCACTTCCCGACCTGGGTACCTCTTCATGTCCCCCATCCCGATCTGTGTCCCACATCCCATTCCGGGACCAGATCCGCATCCTCCATCCCGGTCCAGGTCCCGATCTAGATGTGGGTCCCCCATCCCAATCCAGATCCCCCTCCCACACCGGGTCCAGATCCCAATCCGGGTCCAGATCCGTATCTCCTCATCCTGATCCGTATCCCCCATCCCAATCCAGGTCCCCATCTTGGTCCCGATCCGGATCCCCCATTCCGATCCGGGTCCAGATCCATATCCCCCCATCCCAATCCAGATCCCTCCTCCTGATCCAGGTCCCTGATCCGGGTTCCCCATCCTGATCCGGGTCCCTCTCCGCAGACTCGGCACTGGCCCCACTCCGTTTTCGTTGGTTATCCCCAAAACTTGGCACTCGCTTTCCCCCTTTTTTTTCCCTAAATCCAGACTCCGCTTTTTCCATTCCCCCCAAATCCCAACTTTATTTTCCCTGTTTTCCCCCAAAACGGAGACTCTGCTTTTCGCATGTCCCTTCCGTCCTGATGTCACCTCCCGTGACCCCTCTGGCCCGTCTGAGCCTCTACGGAGCCCCCAAGGGCCCCGCGAGCGCTTCCGCGTGGCCAAGTGACGTCACATCGCTGCTGGGTGACGTCAGCACCCAGCCCCGTGACGCTAGAGCGTTCACTCGCCCCTTCCCCTCCCTGCCGGGCGCGTCCCCTTTAAGTCAGGCCACGCCCCCTTTCGCCCCGCCTCCACGCGGGCCTCGGCCAATCGCCGCGGCGGGCTCCCCCCCCCGGCGGGCGGG